AAAGAGCCCTGTAGGTTGTTTTAGAAGACTAATGGTGAAGTTGTTTACGTGCTCTTTGTTGTGGGTTAACCCCAGTAGGCAGATAAGCACCATGCAGCCACTTGCTCATTCCCCCCCAGTGGGATGGGGGGGAGAATTGGAAGGGTAAAAGTGCAAAAACTCAAGGGTTGAGATAAAGGTACTTTAATAGGTAAAGCAAAAGCTGCGTACACAAGCAAAGCAAAATAGGGAATTCATTCACTACTTGCCACCAGCAGGCAGGTGTTTAGCAATTTCCAGGAAAGCAGGGCTTCATCACACATAACTGTTACTTAGGAAGGCAGACGTCATAATTCTGAATGTCCCCCTTTTTTCCTTCTTTCCCCAGCTTTTATTACTGAGCATGATGTATGGTATGGAACATCCCTTTGGTCAGTTGGGATCAGCTGTCCCAGCTGTGTCCCCTCCCAACTTCTTGTGCACCCCCAGCCTCCTCGGTGGCGAGGTGGTGTGAGGAGCAGCTTACTCTGTGTAAGCACTGCTCAGCAATAACTAAAATGTCGCTATATTATCAACACTGTTTTCAGCACAAATACAAAACGTGGCATTATATTAGCTACTATAAATAAAACTATCTGCCAAAACCAGTGCACTCTTATAACTGAAAATTTTTAAAATAAGAATGCTTCTGCATAAGACAGGGTCTAATACTTCAGCAAAAGCAAAGTGTGAGAGAGAAATACCTGATTGACATTCTCTCATCTCTATAAGGTAGTGACACTAAATTGCCATGATGTGCACTCCTCGTAGGTTTGGCAGGTGATACAGCAAAAACTACAGAGACTGAAGGGTACTCTAACTGGGCAGAATTACTCTGAAACTTCTCAGGCAGGGACACCTCTGTGAGCTTCCCTGCAGTGGGAGGGCCTGCCTCAAAAGTGACAGGAATTGCTGCCTCCCTGAGGACAGTGGAGCACTGTATGTCGTAGTATTGTCTATGAAATCAGGCTTGAGGTGTCATGTCTAGCAGGTGGAATTCAGCAGTCATTGCTGGTCTTGGTGGACTCATCAGAGGAGAAATATAGTTTAACTAGTGGACTGGGAATCCTTAAGGAATCCTTTACACTGAAATGCAGAGTTGCTTTACAAGCTAGTATGGTGAGCAGTTGAAGCAAGTGTTGATTATCAAACTAATTCTTGAATGTGAGGAATTTAATCATAGAAACAGTGAATGGTCTGATCTGGAATATAAATGGAGCTGTGAGGCAACGACTTGAAGACAGTTGAGAGTCACTGATGGCTCTCAATATCTATGTATCTGCTATCTATACCTTGTAAAATATTTCCCTGGAAGATAAGCACTAAGTCAAGTGACTGATAAGCGCTGGTCTCGTGTATTCCTCTGTGCTTATGAAAATGTAGGTGCATTGATTTGCAAGAGTACTCTTAAACAATATACCAAAACTCTGTTATAGAATAATTTAGGCTGGAAGGAATTTCTGGAGGTCATCTGATCAAACTTGCTCCTCAAAACAAAGTAAGTTGAATGTACACCTGAGCAGTAGCAATATACAATAGTTTGCATTTCATGGTCATGAATGTTAGCCATTTGTAGGCAAATGGATTAATTGATAGTTTCTGGAGTTGCTTTTGGTATTGAGAAATAGCAAGCTTATTTGGCTCATTGTTCAGTAGTAGGAATTCCATCAGCAAGACATGCTTAAATTAAAGGCTTCTTTCCTTATATATTATAGAGAGGATTAGAGCCCAATTCAGTTACCCTCTCTATAATTTTGCTGCTGTAAAGGAAACAAAAGATTACCAAGATGCAAGTGTAGTGGCCAAGAAGCATGAGGAAATACCACAGCACTTAGCAAATGCATTTTTTGCTGCAGAAAACTAGTTGACTTTGTTAGGCAACAGCTTGCAATACTATCTATCTGCAAAACTGTTATTTCACAATAGTCAGTGGGGCCTTGGGGGGAAGAAGTGGTTCCTTACAAACTGCTTGACCTTGGTTCATATTTGGATACACATATATGTGTATCTGTTTACTTTTAATCCAGTAAATATTGCATTACATATGAAATAAAAATACAAAATATCTAGTCCTGATATAAACTAAAAATGTGGTTTCTTCTGTCAAATGCAGCTAACGCTTTTTTAGGACCTATTCCGTCATCTTCTACTGTAAAGCTTCTAGGGGACAAGTAATATACTCTGCTCTGTGCATGCTTCAGAGGTTTTTGAAGAATGATTGCCTATTGTTTACAATACTCCTATCATTTGCACCTGAAAGTAACGTAAACATAGCAGACTTCATTTGCTTGGTGTTGGTCATAATCTACAAGTCCTTGGAGTAAAATAGGGTAAACTAAAATGCTAATTGGTGAGGGCCTTCCTCCCTGGAAATGCAGCAAGAGGAAAGCATAAAAGCAGGCTCTTAGAATATTGCTTAGCCTTGATCGCTATTAAGAATGTGGAAAGTCATTAGACAAAGTCCCTTTAGAATTCATGGAGAGGAGGAATTATCTTTTCTGGCAGTCTCTTGCTTTACAGCAAGAAGGTACAGAACTAATACGTTTAATATGGAGTAATTTTCTATTGTTTTTACTACTTGGTAAAACTGCTTAGTTCCACTCTGAAATAACCTTCCAATGTAACACTGTTCTGGAGTTACAGCTTGATTCTGGAATGACTTTTTCGTTCATGGAGCAGTTTGTGGTGGTGGTTTCCAGAAGAAAGATTTCATGCTCATGAGTTGTTTCAGAAGAGCAAAATCATTACTCCCCACTTTCAAAATACTGATTTTTATTTCAGTGGTTATAATGTAATAATTAGGCAGAAAATAAAACTCTGAAGTTGGTCTCATACCAAACTTAGAGTTCTACTCTTCTGAAAATGCTTACAGGTATCGGAGCAGCCGTAACACAGAAGGCCTTGCACATCCTTCCATGGCTCTGGGTTTGGGCTGTCAGGAAAGTATTCATTGCTGAAGGGCTGCTCATAAATTTCAAGTTCTGTTTTTGTTGCACTAAAGTTAAATTATGTGGCTAAAACCTCATCATGGTGACAGGGCAGATAAAGCATCCCAATTTACCTACTATGTTCCTTTAACACTTTCCTCATTCTGTCGTTGAACAGAGAGGATGGAGTTGCTAGGCTGAATGAACAGCAGTATTTGCGCCAATACAGTACTCCATGTGTTTCAAGCATAGAAGCAACTGGTGCTAAATGAACTAGCACGGTATTTTTGCAGGGTGTTTTTGCTTAATGTTAAAGAATGAAGCTATTAATTACTAACAAGAATGCTGTGGGCTTGTCTAGATGGTGGCTTTATCAGAGCTACTGTAGTGTGTGGATATAGACACAGCCTGTTTGATGATGATACATGTTTCAGTGAGTTTTTAACAGCCTTTGTTCCTGTGGCTCACTAAACAGACACCCACTAAAACTTTCCGTAGGGCCTCACTGCCTTTGCAAGTTATTTGTTCTGTTACCTGGGGACTGTGAGTAAATTACTTTCTACACCAAAGGAGTGGATCGGGTGAGCTTATCAACGTATTTTTTCCTCAGTTTGCTTTAATAGCTTAAGTAAATAAGCTCTAACAGTGTTTTATTTCTAACCATTGTGGTACATAGACTTGTCCCTTAAGGCTTGCCAAGTTAAATGCAGCATCCTACTGCACTTTTGCATTCTGCTTCTCACAAGTCATGGTTACTCTGCTTGGTGTTTGTTTGCAGCACAAAAGAACTTACTTGTTTATGGGAATGCTCTTGTTTCTTATTTAATGTGTGCTGCTGAAACATCCCTATATTGAACTTGGATGTGAAGTTAGTGTACTGACTCTTGGCAGAAGCTTGAGCACATGCTTCTGCTGGATGATATAAGGATTCTGTAGGGCTATGCAAGGTACAAGACTCTAAAGATTCCGCGCCGCCCCCCCCCCAAGGGATGGCAAAAGAAATAGGAACAGCATAAGAGAAAAAGCTAGAGTGAGGCTGAAAGGAAAGTTGAGGCTAACTTGTTTCAATTATTTGATATCTTTGTAGTATTTATTTAATGTTAAGACTACCACTTTGAAGGGAGACAGTCTCATAAGATTCTCGCTGTCCTTAAAGCTAAGTGGTACTACTTCTGACTTTTGAGATGTCCTCTAGCAAAAACCAGAAGTCTGGCATTTTTTCATATTAAAGCATTAGCACTACTTCAGCAAAAAGAAAAAAATAGTTTACAGAATACTCCAGTACTCAAGTTACTAATCTTTTCCAGACTGGCTTGGTGACATCTCTGTCACATCTTTTCGTCTCTTCCCCAACACCCCCAAATTTGGTTAAAACCAAGGACTTCCGTTCTGAAATAACCAGCCTAGACAAGTGACAGTAGTTAATGTTTAAATTTCAGAATGTTAAAAAAATCTTAATGCATTTTATTCCATGTTGCTAAAATAGAAGTGTTAGAGTTGCTAATGCTATTTAACCATCCTGCAAATCAATTGAAAGTTAATTTCTAACCTGTCTTAGTTGGGCTTACTTAACTGGCAATGTGCAACTGCTGCTTCCCTAAAGTGTAAATCTGAATTGCAGAATGTTCCCTAGAGGAAAGAAAATGCATCTGTAGTTGATATTTGCTTGCATTTTGTATCGGTTAGCAAGATGCAGTGGTTTGTTCTGATAATACCTTCTGTATTTTTGTACAGCAGGGCATCTCTAAGTCTGCAATCCTGTTGTAATTAAGAATGTGCTTCCCATATTAAAATGCATAGACACACTTCTAAATTTTAGACAAATGAGTGGTAAGTCTTTCCATCAGGCTTCTTGTATAGGGTAGCCCTGCCTCCTGGAATTTGAGTTGGCATATTGCCTGAACATTGCTTAAACTGAGATCAGTAGATGTAAAGGAGGATGGGATGGCAGCCTGTCTATGTAGCACTGCTGAATTCCTGTTAAAATGCTATGTGCAATAAGGTCTCCATCCTTTCTTGCTTTCCTCTTAGATTAAAAATTTAAAGAAAACTTTAAACAATTACATTTTTTACCAGGACTAGAATTGAACACGCAATTAGATTATGTCATGATGACCAACACAGGAAGGACTTTATTAAAAGTATACTGTACCAAAAAGCTTACCTAGGTTCAGGTATCTTAATAGCAAGCCTTGAAATTTAGGTACATGAAGCCTTTTAAGGTTAGTGTTGGAGTTGCTTGGCTAAATTCTGGCATTAGGCGAAGTCACATGAGTTGTCAGACTTGCGAAAAATATGCATTTGGAATAGAATTAAAGCTTAATGTTTTCAAACGTCAGAATTTGAACTGTGAATATAGTTTGGGTGCCTTTCTGCAGGAGTTATTCCAGATTGGTCAGATCACTGGATAGAGTTTACTTAATGCTGCAGATGTGAGCATTAGCTGATGAAATTATCACATGTGGCATGGCTGCAGTGGTCTTTTATTAACTTAAAAATGGAAACCATTTTCTTAAGTCTGCAGAGGAAATGCATGCAGCAGTTGTCCAGCAGTTGCTGGTGGTCACAGCTGTGTGGCTGTTGTCCTCCATGAAGGATGCTGTTCTTTGATGGGTTCCCCAGATGTGCAGGGTACTGTGTCAGCAGCTTCAGTTGAGTCTGGCACTGTAATTTGTATCCACCTGAGTCAGCGGTTGTTCATGCAATGGTGCCATGCTGAACTGGTGCAGCTGAAGTTAGTCGCGCCCTTGTGTGACTGTTGTTTGGGCAGGCATACTCCTAGTAGGTCCTCTGAAACTGGTACAGTCAACTTGCTAGATCTAATCTGTCAGAGCCCTTCTCTGGTCACAACAAGAAATGCTGCATGTGGTTTTAGCAATGAAATACTGATTTGACAGTGTATCTTCTGGTAGTAAGAAGTGGGTGTCATTGTCATGGCATTGATGACTTTGCTGTCCCATTTTAGTTCCTCTAACATTGGGGAGTTAACTAGGTTGTAGAGATTAAGCATAAGTATTGGGTTTTTTAAAGGTTTCTCAGCCACTTCTCTACATCAGTGGCTCTCAATTAGAAGTCAGGGGGGAAAAAGCAAACTGGGACCTTATGGGTATATTTCCATTTCCTGGCTGAAAATGGCTCTTGGAGTTCAAATTCCCTTTATCCAGATGCCATTAATAGGCTATAGTCTCAAAGTCTCCATGTCCCCTTTTTAAAGCCAATTCAGCAGTAGTATATTATCTGCAAGTCTACAAAAAGATAGCTGCAGAGGGCTTGAATTGCTTAACTTTAGGCACAGACTGTCTGAAACTGTTTTTTTGTCTCTTGTCTATCTTGAAACATTGCCACTGACTGTCCCCTCACCCCCTTCCTACTTCTGTGGGTATGTTTGAACTAAAAGAACAGCATAAGAAACTTTCCTTTTGAACTAAAAGAACAGCATAAGAAACTTATAAGAAAAATAAGTTGCACAAATGGTGTGAATACTATTCTAGTTATCTACATCTTAAAAAAAGCAACAAATTTCATCTCTAAAAAAAAGGAGAGGGATTTCTACGGAAAACAATCAACCAAAAAAAAAAAAAAAACCACGAAGGCAAGTTGTCATTTTAATTTGCTAGTTAGCAGATAACTCATTACCTTTTTTTCTGTGAAGGTAAGTCCCAAGTCTGTTCCACTTGTTACGATTCAATATAATTCTCCATGCTAGGCAAGACCTGCATGTGAATGTTGCAGGAAGCAGGCCTCTTCCTTGAGTATTCTTCGAGTATTCAGGTTGAAGGCCTGTACTTACCAAGAATGGTTGTGCTTGGTCTTGTTTTAATCTGTGGCAGCTTTTGGATAGACAAAACAGGTAGGTATTAATTTACACTGTCATGTAGAGCCAGATAAAGGGCTCTCACACTAACTTACTGATGTAAAGTCAATAACTTGTTGCTTTTGGTAGTGTCTGGATATCTAGCAATGCTGCTGTCGTGGTTTAACCTGGCAGGCAGCCAAAAACCAAGCAGCCG